CCCCCCCCAGTCCCTTTCTATATATCCCCAAGATGGAAACCCAGCTGCCTGCAGCACGGAGCACCCACCGCTCTCACCTGTGGCTTTGAGGGCAGATCCCTGGTGTTAACTCATTTCCTTGTTTTCTCCGTGGAAATGAAAGGGCAGAACAATCACGAATGCAGAGGCCAAGAGCTCTCCCGGGGCCGAATCCTACCTGAGACCCGATGTTTTTCTTTCTTCTCTTTCTCTAGAGAGCCAGAAAGATGAGCAAGATCTCAACGAGGAGCGAGAAATATTCGCCGAGATGATGCAAGTGATCGAGCAGAGGGACAGACTCGTGGATTCCTTGGAGGAGCAGCGCATCAGAGAGAAGGCTGAAGACCAGCGCTTCGAAAGCTTCATCTTCTCCAGGGGCTGCCAGCTGAGCAGGACGTGAGCAGGGCCTCGCCCCGGAGCCGGCCCAGGACCCCATCCGGCCAAGGACCCGATCCAGCCAAGCGCGCCTCGTGCGCTCCTCCTTCCTTTCCCAGCATTTGTCATACCTGCCCCCTAAGTTATACCATACTGCAATGGGCTTTTCAAAAAAATATGTTTTAGTGATTTTTAAAGAGAGGAAGGAGAGGGAGAGAGAGAGAGAAACATCAATGATGAGAGTCACCCATCGGCTGCCTCCTGCAAGCCCCCTACTGGGGATGGAGCCTGCAACCCAGGCATGTGCCCTGACCGGGAATCGAACCATGACCTCTTGGTTCATAGGTCGATGCTCAACCACTGAGCCATACTGGCCAGGCTGCAATACGTTTTTAAAAATTAAAATTCTCTCATATGTACTACAGCTGCCCCAGATCCTTCCCAAGATTATAATGAAGAAAATACAAAGATGCTTTTCAAATTGGCAGTCGACCTCAGCAGGTCTCTCCGATTGGAGGTGACCTTGGCAGATGACCAGCATTGTTTTCCCTAGAAGGTGGCACAGATCGACTTTCCTTCTGCTTTTTTTTTTTTTTTTTTTATCATTTATCTGCCCAATGCATTGAGTTACACATCTTAAGATTTTTAAGAAGCTGCCTTTTCATTAATATATCCATATTTGCCCTTTTTTGCATGGATGAGTGGTTTCCAAATGTCAGAAGGAAGCAGCAGCAGTTTAAAGATTAGGTTAATATTTAAATTGTGTTTCCAGAGAAAGAGGAGCAACCTTGAGATTACTGATTACATAAAGCAAATAAGTCACATTGCAGGTGTTAATTCAATCCAGGGTGAATTTAATTTACCAGGTGTATTTATAAGCCTTAATATAATATGCATAAGCAATGAGAGTTTAATAGAACATTTGAGCCTTAATTTTATTAAAAAAGAAAGAAAGGAAATAAAACTTCCAGCAGGATCATTAGTTTTCACCAAGTACTGTTGGCTTAGAAAAGCTTTTTATTCTCAGAGCACTGTCCTTATGGCCCCTGGAACATGCTGGAAAGTGTTTTTAGAAAATGAGTATTTTTAAATAACTCTTGGAAATGGCAAACAGGAAAACTCTTCCATTTGTTGATAAAACTATGGGTGAAGTTGGTGCTGCTATAAAAATGAACACACCAGTGATCCGGGACAAGGAACATGTCCCAGTGGTGGTCTTCTTAGGTCCAAAACAGAGAAGTGACTCTGAGACTCTGCTGGGACGGCCCAGGAACCCACGGGACACGGGAAAAACCACTTCTGACTTCAAGGTCAAGCTGAGTGCAGTGACCCCATGTACCAAATCCCAAATTGGGTCATGGATTTTTTTTTTTTTTAATGATATTTTCAATGTACAAGGAAAGCTGGAAGATGCATTTTGTGCACTGATGTGAAATTCCTGGAATGTTTTAATGGTTCATATGGAACCCAAGAAAAGATTTCAAATGGTGACCTGTGGCCGTAAAGTATTCGATTGTTTTCCCTCAATGGGATTCTTGGAAGATTCAGTCTGTCATTGACAAGAGGCAGACTGAAGAACCCTTTGTTGCTGTATGTTTGGCCTCTCTCCTTTCTGCAAGTGTTTAAATGTGTCACTGGACAAAAGGTGCTTTGCAACAGTTGGCTCTGACTGGCGACCTAACTTCCCTCAATATGAGCTGAGCCATGAACCACTTCTGTCTGAGATTCTGTCTATGTGCATGGACCTGGCCAGCTGACAAGCCAGAAATTGGAAGTGTAACTGGATTTCCCGAGTCAGCCAATGTTTTGGGTCATATTAAAATGCAACCTTTCCATGTATATCAAGTTCCTAAGGTTGTAGGGTTTCTTCCTTCCTTCCTTCCTTCCTTCCTTCCTTCCTTCCTTCCTTCCTTCCTTCCTT